TTAAAAAAAGGTCTAAGATTATGAATATGTTTCCAAATCTTTCAGTAGGGTGTGATTGGATATACTTCACTGACAAAAATCAATCAAAAATATGAATTTAAATCAACTTTAACTCAAACTCACTGTCCTTAGTATTATGAATATTATTAAGTAATATCAACCAATCATTCTTATACATCACATCATCTTTAATTTACTAGTCATTCACTCACATAATTTTAACTAATCATCACTTCCAATCATTTTGCTCCTACATTAACATCAAATCAATTAGAATTATTTTATTTTAAATCTTATTTTAATTTAAATTTAAATTTCTACTTACAATTAAACATACTACCTTTTTTAAAATAACTAAGACTAACAAAAAAACCAACGAGCCCATCTTCAATCACACCCTTAGTACTTATATGCAATTTTTTAGGTGTAGCCATAATATGATTTTCAAATTATATTTTTTTTGGTACAAAATTCGATTCTTAATAAAAAAAAATTCAATTCTTAATACTTAGGTGTAGTCATAGTTTCAAGATATACAAAATCTGATTCCTAAAAACAAAACACTTGATTTTTGAAACATGTCTTTTTAACATAAAAATAAATTTACAATATCTAACATAATTTTATTTAATTTTCATGCCTTAAATATTTCACCAATACACAAGTGAAATCTACTATTTTTGGGATCTACTATTTTTTGATTATGTACTTATCTCTTTTATACAAAGTTCGATTGTATATAAACAAAACACTTGATTTTTGAAACATGTCATTTTTAATAAAAAATGATATTACAATATGTAAGATAATTTAATTTGATTTTCATGCCTTCAATATTTGAAATGGACAAAACCAAAAATTCAACAATTGTAGGAACCTTAATCTACTGATCAAAACGTCCAATTAATTCCATATCGAGAAGGGGTATCTTGTATGTCAGATACTGCTTAGAGTCACTTTAACCCACTAAGATTAATCATCTGTTCCCTAAAGCTTTCCCAATTAGGCTCTTTTAACATTCTTGAAGACCCCAAAATTATATTCTGAAAATTATATTCATAGTTCCTTTTTTTCAGATAGGGCGAATTTTTGAAACTGTGAAGTGATATCCTGGTCCATAACAGAAATCTAAACAAAACACCCCAAAAAACCCTAGGGCAACCTGCTCCTAAAATTAGACGCTAACTGGTTACTTAAATCAAGGGAAAGGATAGAAAGAAAGGAGGACACTATCGGAGAACAGACTCAACATATACCACACCCAAAGATAAGTTAAAATTAAACATGGCAGCAAAACATGATGTAAGAAATTTAACGGTTATATTCACAATTATTAGGCGGAATTGAATAAACCCTAAGCATGTAATTCTATCAATTCATAGAATATGGATCTTTGCATAAATTAAATTACACATAAAACTTACCAGAATTCAGCTTATAGTCCAATTGCATATAAAATTTACCAGAATCCAGCTTATAATCCTTCCCTGTTCTCTTGATCTATGATGTTGATCTGCGATCACTTCTTCGTAATCTCATGGATCTATCTTTCTCATAATCTCCAATGATGGATTGGTCTTTGCCTATGAATTGTTTCTCTCTCCGGCGTCTCTTGTCTTTTCATAAAGCCCTTGATGTTGAGAACTTTATTTTCGTATGAGATGAGAGAGAGGGGCATGTAGTATATATAGGAGGAGTCCTACAAACCTATTCCTACTAACATTCCCCATGTTCTAA